ACTTGAAAGTAAATAAAATGAAAATGTTATAATTATTGTTTGTGAAATAAAGTTTAAACTATATTTTTTAATTTTACATTGGTATTCATCATTCTTTAATTAAGAATTATTAACCGCAATTAAAATGGATAACATATTTAAATTTTTAATCAAGCAAGCTATTTGCTTTAAATAAAGAGTCAATAGTTATTTTTAATACAAATTTGCCAGAATGTTTTTTTATATTATTATTGCAAGATATTGCCTTAAAATTAAGTTCAAAATTAGGCTTTATAATTACTTTGCTTTTCAAATTACTGTGATCATTAGATCATGCAAAATGCTAAAAAAATTTAAGTTCCTTATTTTTTTTGCAAATTGTTATTGAAATACTAATATTTCCAAAGATTCTTGTTAAATACTATTTTCTAACATAATATCGGTTGATCAAACAATAAAATTTTTGGTTATTTTTTTTAACTATATTCTCAAATTTTAAATAAAAGAACCTTACTAATACCCTGCTTATTTCGAATTTTCAAATTATTTCAAATTATACAGACTGATAAATTTGAAAATAGTCTTAAACATTTAAATTAACAAGGAATTTATTAAGATATTTTCGCTCAAAGTTCGAAAACACAGAAATAATATTATTAACTTAATTTGAAGCGCAGTAATTCAGACAATCATACGTAGTATCCAAGTCGATTATAATTTATAACTACATTTATCGCGTTACATCAGAGCTAAATTCGGTACAGTTGTATATCGCTAGCAATACAAATACTTGAATAATATTCAGTCATAAATTCTAAAATAAAATAATAAAGAATCGACACTTAATATATCAACATTAACGAAAAAAAGAATTTACCTATAACGAATGATTATCTGTTATTGCTGAATAATGTATGCAAGATGATCAAAATTTTCAGGGACTGGTGTCAACTTCAGCACAACATATTAATATAACTAGGAACCGGAAACCGGTATAAGTCCGGAGCCCATAACAGCATTCAATTAATGGCCCTAACTGAAAAATCTGGTCATGTATATCGCAGATCAAAATTTTCAGGGGCGTTACAAACGGAAGATGCCGAAACTACGTTTTTGATATTATTATTATAGATGCATCAAAATCGTAATTTCAGTCATCAAAGCGCATAAACATGTAAGTCTTCCGCTTCACTCCGGACAATGATTTTAGCGGTTAACGTTAAATGATTTGATGACAATTGTCGTGACTGAAGTTGGCATTTGCCTGAAGTTGGAACTTCAGGTACCTGAAGTTGACACCTGCCTAAAACGCTAACTAATGCGTGCAGGATGATCTAATTTCAGGGGAGGTGCAACTCCAACTTTAGTCACGACAATATCTGCAACAGTTACAACGTTCTTGATCATAACCTGACTGAGTTTTTACTTTTCCCCGTATGTAAGATTTAATACACTTCGTTTCACTACGTCCCTTTATTATTCGCTAAATTTTAACTTTTTACAAATGTCGCAAGTTGGCACTAAATTACTTGAGCACTTCTCTAATGATTTTGCACAACTTCTTGAAAGCGCATATGATTATAATGTCATAATTAAAGTTGGAGATCAAAATTTTAAGTTGCATTCTTTAGTCTTGTATCAACGTTCACCATTCTTTCGTAAAGAATTATCGACTGCGTCTAAAAAGAATAATATTATTGAAATTACTTTAAATCATATTCCTGTTGAGGCTTTTAAAATTTTAATTAAGTAAGTTGTTTATTTTATAATGAAAATCTACTGCAGTTAGAGTCTATTATATTTTTTATTATCGAACAAGATGCCATTTCAAAATTAGAATTAGTGCTAGTAGTTGAGAATCAGAATATATTGTGTTCCAAACACTAGTTACTGAGAAATAACGTGCCTGATAAATTTCACATCTGGTGATTTAAAATCGTTAGTATACTAATTAAAGTTTTTTTTTGTTTAGATATATTTACACAGGCACAATTCTATTAGAAAAAGTTGAACCATCAGTTTTATTTGATCTTTTGGTTCCTTCCAACAAATTGGGTCTAACAGTATTAGTTGAATATATTCAGTCTTATCTTATTGACAACAAAGCATCTTGGCTTCGATTAAAATTCACCCAAATTTATTCTACCTGCTTTCAGGATAATAATTTTAAGGCTTTACAAACTTTTTGTACTGATATCCTTGCAAAACATCCAAACCTAGTTTTTAGTTCTGATGACTTTACCTCTATTCATGAAAATGCATTGATAACTCTTTTAAAACGAGATGATTTGCAAATAGAAGAATCTGAAATTTGGGATAAAATGATTCAATGGGGTAAAGCACAAGTACCAGACTTGCCTTCCGATCTTAAACAATGGACTCAAAAGGATTTTTTGGCTTTAAAGAATACACTTGATAAATGTATTCCTTTAATTCGATATTTCCAAATTTCTGGAGAGGATATTGTAGAAAAAGTTAAACCCTATCGACAAATTCTTGGATTAGACTTATGGGATGATATTACGACAAAGATTATGGCACCTAATGCATCTATTTCTTCAACTATCTTACCTGCTCGTAAAAAAATTCCTACCCAACTTCCTGTCCGTGAAGTTCACTTTATTAACCCATCGTCTGTTATCAACGATGAACATTTTGCAGAGATTTCATCCTGGATTGATCGTCATCCGACAATATATGATGTTACAAAAATACCTTACAAGTTTAATTTACTTCTTCGAGGAAGAAGAGACGGATTTAATTGTGAAACATTTCATAGATTATGCGATAACATACCTGGCACCGTGGTTGTTACAAAGGTTAAAGACACAAATGAAATACTTGGTGGATATAATCCATTAATCTGGTCATCTGATAATCCATTAACATGGTTAAAAACGGTTGACAGTTTCATTTTTTCATTAAAAACTCAAAAGTTACCTAATTCTATCCTTAGTAGAATTATCCATAATGATTGTGTAATTGGATGTTGGTCTAATTGTGGTCCAGTTTTCAGTAATTATTTCTATATGCCTAATGATAATAAGGGATGGAATTATGCACATTATCCTCAATATTATGAAAAGCAGCTTAGAACGGATTGTTCTTGTCTTTCAATTGATGAATTTGAAGTATTTCAAGTATTTCAAGTTTTGAAAATTTAAACACGTAATTATAAATACTAAGAATCTTTTTAAATAAATCTCTGAGATTAAATTCATGTATTTAGAGTGTGTAATTTTATCAATGTTAATACATTGAATTGGAAAATGAGTTAATTGTAAGGTTTTTAAATTTATGCAAGCCAGGTGTTGTCAAAAAAATAATTGAATATATTTTTAATGAGCTTATGCGAAATATATTAATAGAATCGCAAATATTAAACTATGTATATTAATAATTTGAATTATTTTTTGAATAATGAAGCAAGGCATTTTCTGATATCTAGCATTATTTTTTTATTTTATTATTTAGGTTTATAATTTATCAGCTGTTGATACCACCCCGATATTGCTATGTTTGTACTTTTAGTCAACTAATTTGTTTCTACAACTTCAGTTAACAACTTTAGTTAAATGTACTGTAATAATAATAATAATCTTTTTTAGCATCCAAATGGCATAGTTAAGCATCAAAATTTTTAACCGGTTTTTTTTGCAAAAATGATTATTATTATAACTGACAATGGTATAATTTAAGTTGATGAATAAGGTTTTAAGTTATATTTTCTAATTTTATATTAGTATTCATTATTCCTTTATTAAGAATTATTAACCGTCATTTCTTTATAATTATTATCAGAGGTGTGAAAAATATCCAAAAAAATTTTTTGTCCTTGAGAACATAATTTTAATTTTTTAGGTTCTCAAAAAAAAAATTATCATGTTCTTTAGGTTCTCAAAAAAAAAATAATCATGTTCTTTAGGTTCTCAAAAAAAATAATCATGTTCTTAAAAGAAGCTTTAATATTCTCAAAGAATTATTAATTAATAATTCACAAATTTCTATGTTTTCAGATAAGACAATTTTTAAATGTGGTGATCACAAAAAAATTTTAGTGTTCTTGAAGACACGGTGAACATTAGATATTTAACATTGATCAGAGCTGAAAGTTCCCAGAAGCTTTAAAGTTAGAATTAGACTTAAGAGTTAAAATTGATGCTTAGGTATATGTTAGAGTTTTTAGAATCAGCATTTTACTTAATATAGATTTTAGAAATAGCATGTACCTTTGGTGATTCAAAGTTGATAGATAAATGGGCATCGTCAAAATGAGGAGTTGTGAGAATGCAATTTCACTTTCACTAGTAAGTTTATCTAGCAATTAATAAATTAGTTTATTAAATAATTTTTTAATAACAGATATACTATTAACGATAGATTTCCTGTAGACAATAATAAAATATACTTGGTTCTAAACTGAATATAAAAATATCTTCAATAAAATTTTAAATTACACAGCGACTCATTTAGTTGATGATGCCCAAATTATTAGGATTAGTTTATACGAACACCATGTTATAAAAATGACAAATATTACACGTCATTTTAAATTTTATCAATTACTAATTTTTCAATTTCCGCCCAGTCAATCTTAGCATATAATAAACAGAATTATAAACTTCTTTGTTGTTGTAATGATTTTCCGATGTCCTCTGATCAGATCATTGAAATTTATAATAATCAAGAACTTCTAGCATAATAACAATATTCAAGGAATGTTCTAATCTCATAACATTCAGGAACGGTCAATTTATAAACTAAATACTGGCCATACCGTAATATTCAAGAATAACTAACCATACATTTTTTAAAAAACCAAAATTTTTATAAATAGTAACGATGCCAAAGAACAAGATGAAGATCTCGACATGAACGTGTTTTACGTGTTTACTAGTTAAGTTTTAATTACATTATAATAATTTTTTAATTATATTGATTGTATATTGTTTCTAAGCATGAACACGATTTCAATTAACAAATTAAAAAATCATGCATAACGTATGCGTTTATAATAAAGTTTAGTTATGTAAATTGGCAACAATGCAACGATCTTTGCCAGCACTGTCTTTCCAAATATCTACCGATTTAAAGTTGTATTTTTTTAATTCTTCGACAATCCTAGATATTTGATGACTACCTCCAATTTCAATAACCAATTGTGGCATCTTATTTTTCCAGGCATTTGTATAAGGACTATTTTTTCTTAACAAATATTTAGCTGTTAAATATACGATTTTACTATGAAATATTGTACCATTCTCATCAGCAACCAGTGCCAATTTATCTTCCCACAATCTAACATCTTCATCTAATGTCAAATATTCATCATGAGAAATATAAGGTGGATTAGAAACCACTAAATCATATCCATTGCTCTTTTGCATAAATTTATAAATTTGTTCATCAGAAGACTTCATAATATCAAAGTGGAAAAATTCAACATGATTATGTATTTGTTTACAAGAATCCATTATCGAAAGATTTAAATTGGCAAGGGAAAGTGCATCATTAGAAATATCTACACCATTAATATAACATGAGTTTTTTGGAAGTGCATTTGAGAGTGCCAATGCTATACATCCTGATCCCGTGCAAATGTCAATAATTTTAAAGGAAGATTTCTGGGATGCCAAGATGGTGGTTGTTGAAAAAAGAGGTTTTAAAAGAGCTATTAATCGACTAGTCCATTCTTCTGTTTCCCATCTGAAAATTAGTGAAATTTAGTATTTTATAAATAAAGATTTATTTTATAAATTGAAAAAACACCTTGATAATATGTAGATACCTGGGAATTAATACAGGTGGTTTTGTTATTATTTCCAAATCACAAAATGGCTGAGTTCCTAACAATTAGAATATAATTAAGTGCTATTTCATATTATATATGTGTATATGTTTCATTAAATACTAACCAAGTATATACTGTAACGGTTTAGATTTTTCAACTCTTTCATTAACATATTTACTTAAAAGTAATTTTTCATTATTATTTAAATTTTTAATAATTTCATTGGTAGAAATTATCGATGTTTTTAATTTATTCAAAATAGGATTTTTAGTTTGCTGTAATACATAAATCGTTAACCATTTCAATTCTTGTTGTGCTTGGTTTAAATCGTTTGATGTTTTTGTACGTAATCGATGGAGCAAAGCCTGCATTATTTTTCATTATACAAATTAAGTTTTTATCATGCGTATCTATAAACATTTGTGCATAAACATGCATAACGACCAATCAAAAAAAAAGGGTGTCTTCAAAATAGATCCGGGGTCTAGGTTATTATCCTACTCTTTTTTTAGGGTTAGGGTTAGTTAGCACGTGATGACTATTTTAAACTTAATTTATTTATTTTTGGTCATAGGTTAATAACCTAGACCCCGGGTCTATTTTAAAGACACCCAAAAAAAACCCCTACTTCCAAAATCGGATTTCAAGTAATGTAACACTATCAGGAAATTTCAAACAAACGTTCGTTTTGTCCAAAATCGCTTATTTTTCAAGAATCGGTATAAAAAAATCACCTTTAGTACTCTAACAAAAAGTTTTCCTTGAGTGATTTTACTATAAAACCACCCAATCTCTAACTTCATTCTAAACGTTAACCCTAACATTAATGATTTAAAATTTTTACTGCATCACAATGGCACCATTCACTGAAGTTATTTCCCCTGACTCGACATCACTCAGGGTGACGATTTGCTAAAAAATATAAACCTACAACTAATCAAATGCTAATCCTAACGATAGATGCTGGTGAAATTGATGAAACTCTTGATGACTGATGGTGAAACTGGTGAAATTTAATATAACAGAACATTATTTAGTTTCACCAGCATCCATGTGATGTCGGGTAAATGGCCTGTTGAGGAAAGACTTTCAGGGAATTGAGCGACAATCTTGTAAATTGGTTTTTCTTTTCGTTAGTAATTTATGGAGGACGCAAACGAATTATTTGAACTAGGGAGTCGTTACGAAAACGGAATTGAAGTTAAGAAAGATGAAAAGAAAGCTTTCAAATGGTATCAAAAATCTGCAAACATGGGAAATGCCCATGGAATTAATAAGGTTGGTGATTGTTATCAACACGGAAACGGAGTAGAAAAAAATCACCAAAGAGCTTTCGAATACTACATAAAAGCTGCTGAGATGGGTCATATTGATGGAACATTTAATGTTGGTTATTGTTATCAAAATGGAATTGGAATAGAAAAGGATGAACACGAGACTTTCAAATGGTATCAAAAATCTGCAAACATGGGGAATGCCCGTGGGATAAATAGGGTTGGTTATTGTTATCAACATGGAATTGGAATTGGAATCGAAAAAGATGAACAAAAAGCTTTCGAATATTATTTAAAATCTGCAGATAAATATTATGCTACAGGAATAAGCAATGTTGGCTGGTGTTATCTTAAAGGAATCGGAATCGAAAAAAAATGAAAAAACGGCTTTCGAGTATTTTCAAAAATCGGCTAAAATGAATAATATTAACGGGATAAATAACCTCGCCTATTGTTTTAGAAGCGGAATCGGAGTAAAAAGGGATGAAAAAAAAGCTTTCGAGAATTATTTGAAGTCTGCAGAACTGGAAGATGCCAGTGGAATGCATAATGTGGGATGGTGTTATCGAAATGGAATTGGTACAACAAGAGACTTAAAACAAGCCAATTATTGGTTAAAAAAGTAAATATTATTTATTACTATTTATATAATTAAAATTTATTAAAAATTAACAATGATTCTGAAAATATAGATATAGAGACAAATTTTTTTCAGGTATGTAAGTTTAAATTAATATTCATTTATTATTAATATTAATTGACTTGTTTATTTAGAAATGGCCAAGACATCACATGAAAATTCTAACATTGATGATGATTTAAAAAAAATATTGGACGATGAAAGATATCAATTATCGTGGATACCATATAACGAATTTGAAAATATCGAAAGTTTTGGTAAAGGTGGATTCGCAACTATTTATAAAGCTCAATGGAAAATGCAAACAATAAATTATTCAAGTACAATATCTGTTGCGCTTAAATTAATTCGGGACACACATACTCGAATTCAGGAATTTGCAAAAGAGGTATATTTTTTAATTTAATTTTTTTTTTTTTATTGACTTAGCCATTTATCATTAAAGTTAAAAGCGTATTGTGTTATTGGATATGAAAATCCTTCGTTTCTAAAATGTTACGGAATATCTAGAGATGAACTTACTAAAGATTATATTCTTGTTCTGAAATTTGCACCAAAAAGTTCTTTGCAAAAAAATCTTTCCTCCGTATCACAAATGGAAAGAAAAATTAAATTTATTACATTGTATTGCCTCAGATCTTGAAGCAATTCATTCTCAAGGGCTAATTCATAGAGACTTACATTGTGGAAACATTTTACAAGATACATTATTTAGTGCATATATCGCAGACTTGGGACTTGTGACATCAACTAAAAAAGAAGAAAAAGGTGAAATTTATGGCGTCTTACCCTATGTTGCTCCCGAAGTTTTATATGGTCGACTGCTTACAAAAGCGGCTGATATCTACAGTCTTGGTATCATCATGTGGGTAATTTCAACTGGACAAAGACCTTTTGACGGTGAACCGTTTGATGTTGACCTTGCAGTGAAAATTTATCGTGGATTAAGACCTAAATTTACTCCTGGAACTCCTAATTGCTACGCTGTATTGGCTAAACAGTGCATGGCTTCTGATATCAAACAACGACCAGAAGCAAAAGAAATCATGCAACAATTTGGTAAATGGATTGTTGACATATCTGATGAAAATTAAAATGAAATTAAAAAACAATTCTTGTATGCTGATAGAATAATTAAATCATCAAAACATCCATCAAAATATCCAGATTTAAATAGCAAAATATTCAATATTTACAGAGTGGAAATATTCAACGAGACACACAGAGTGGAAATATTCAAAAAGATTTACAAAGTGGAAATATTCAAAAAGATTTACAAAGTGGAAATATTCAGCGAGATTTACAAAGCGGAAACATTCAACAAGATTTACAGAGCGGAAATATTCAAAAAGATGTACAAAGCGGAAATATTCAAAAAGATTTACAGAGTATACTGTTAAAATATCCAGATCACATGTACACGAGCAGATTGATCAATACACTAGAGATCACAGAGCGGTTAGAAAACATGAAAATAATTCAACAAAGTAACCAAATTTATTCTGTAGAAATTCCAGACAATTAATTATGCATATGTAAAAAATTATTTGAATCTAATTATTGTTACTCTTGTAAAGTTCCAGATGACTATTATTATCTATCTATCTATACGTAATACAAAAAATTAGATGTTCGGTCGGTTTTGCATCACGTGTTTACTTATGCGAATAGTATTTTGTATAAAACTCACGTAACATAGTTCTTTGAAGCGCAGTGCGCACATTCTATTTGACAATATGACCCAATTCGTGCATATCTTGTATGGTTTGCATACATGTGTGCACATCGAATCTTGAAAATGCTTACACTTTTTTTGATGATTGTTTTGATAAAACAGAATTTTTGAACAGCCTTTAAAACACTTCCTTTAAAAGAATTAAGTGGAACTTATTTATGCGTTTGATCCAAAACCACAATAGATTCTTCAATTAGATAAGACAAATGTTTTTTCCCTGACATGTATTCAGAATGGGAAATAATGCGAAAATACAAGTAAAAGATGATTAATCTTTGACGGAATTAAATTATATGTAATGATCGATTAATCTTATAGTATCTTATTTTTAACATGGCATAAATTTTTAATATAATTTATGTAGTTTTTTTGAATTTTCATTCTCATAATGAGTATTTATATTTTTTTCTGTATACAGTATAATCGTTTTTGTCAACCCCATGTGTTTGATTAATTGATCATGTCAACCCAAGTGCTGTATATTTTTGAATAGATTATGTCAATCCAAGCGTTGTATATTTTTGAATAATTGATCAATTGATCAATCGAACAAAAAACAAAACAACTTCTCTACTCCTCTAACTGCATTATCTTTCTAAATATAACTTCAAACTCTGGCATAAATATGTATGTGTTCTCTAGAAATGCACTTTTCTTATTTTTCTCTAAATGCATGTACTGTATAATGAACATAATATAAAAAATTTTAAACTTGTGACATAAACTAGGATCGAGGTGGAAAATCTGATCTTTTGTTTGGAAAATCGAACATTTACAGGATTTTTATTGGATATTAAACGTTTTTTTTTTTTTTTTTTTTTTTTTTTTTGGTATTAAGGTGAGGCCTTGCTTATATCTTTATTAGTAATTTTAAAAATAGTAACTACATGAGATATAGAAATACTACTATTTGTACAAGTACAAATAAAAATAAAAATTACATGCAAGAATAGAAGTTCAGACATATTTATCTGTTAAATGTTTTTTTGTACAATAGTCATTTAATTAAAAGTTTATCATTTTTATATTTTATTATAAAAATAGTATAAAAATAAACCTCTGTTCAGAAAATCAATTTATTTTGAACTACTTTAAAACAACCATTTCTATAGAATAACAACATTCAAAAAAAATAAATTGTATTTTTTTTTACATTGGCTGTCTTGCTGATATTTTTTATTAAATTGATTTGTTGGTAAAACAAAATGTATACAGAGGGGTAGCATATTATTATGGACACTTTTTGAAAATTTATATTGAATTAAATAAACAAGATATAGAGCTAAAAATTATATATATTATTCAAATCTAAAGTTTTCAAATAAAAAAAAAATATAAAATTCTATGCAGTACTTTTTAAAATAATTAAATTTAAAAAATTTTAGAATTTTTCATTCGTACTAAAATCTACTTTTTAATAGAGGTTAGTATAAACATCAATTTTAATTTTTAGTACATATTAAACTTGATTTTTTATTAAGTAAACTAAGCTTAATTATTAAGTAAAATTTGTTTAGCATAAAAAAATACATATATTTTGAAATTTTAAAATTTTTTAAAAATTATATATAAAATTATTAAAGATTATAAAAATTACTATTTTTAGCAATTTGTTAATTTTAAATTGAATAATTTAGCTTTTGGAGACCTAAATAGTGTCCCTAACTCTCATATTGACCATAAACCTCCTAAAAAGACATCAATTTCAGAACTACAACTTATTAAGTATCTAATCAGCTATCAATTTAAAGATACATATCGGTTCTTTTTTCCAAACAATCAAAACTTCACCTTTCACTGCTCTAATATCCAAAGTAGAATAGATCAAATTTGGACAAATCTTAGTATCACAAATATTGACTATACAGACATCCTACCAAACAGCAAC